GTGAGGGAAATTCAGCTGAAGTGTTCTTGGCAATAGGACTGCTGACTTTCACGATGTATTTCTCCAGTCCATAACTTTTGTCTTGGCAAGCTGTAGAGTGCATGACTAAAATGTAACTCCATGACGTTTGGAAATGAACCTTTCAAAGGCAAGGTCAAAAAAGCACACTTCCGTAGAGGGTTTTCGGTAGCATTTGGAAGCACCGGATGCAGATGTTTAACTGGCGGACTTGCACCTTTAGTACACTTCACGGTCGACCAGTGCAGCGAAACCACTCTTATCTTGTGTAGACCTCTTTGCCGACTCAGAGGAGACATTTAGTAATTTAACGATATTTATCCAGCAGCAGATTACAAGCTCAACTCATCAGACGTTCTCCTTCTTCGGACAGTTCATTTCAAGTCTAAGGCTCTGGCTGCAAAAGAGGCAGATCGCATGCATGTACGATGTTTTGCATGTTGTGTAAAGGTCGTGCTGCATGTCGCAACGAACATACCAGAGCTGCCCGGTAAACAGAGGCAACTAATCATGAGCAAGTTCACAATTAACGTCCATTTCGAGACCGCTGTGCGACTTCACTGGCTGTGGTTATTACAGTGGTACACTGAAATGTACGATGTTATGTTATGTTGCCCTTAGTGAAAAAGAAACCAGCGTAACTTAAAAAAATGGACCATTTTCGTGATTTTTGCTTTTATTAATTTTGAACCGAAACATGAGGGAAAATTAGTCCTATCGATCAATCATGAAACTTTTTTATTGTATTAACACCCTATAACAATTTCGTAAGGGCACAAAATTTATTTGGAAGTGATAATTTTTTAAAAAACACGTATTGGCATGTCATTATCGACGCACCGCTGTTATCTTTGCCAAATTCACCAAATTTATGCAGTTTTGATCAATCAAAAAAATGAAATTCCTTAAGACTGCACAACTGATAGTTGCTAAAAATGTGTAATTTCGGGCGAGAGAAACACAAAATGAGAGTAAAAAATACACCTTGAAGTGCGGACTAAAGCTAGACGCACATTATTGGCACTCTTTCAGGGTTGTTTCATGCAAAACCGTTTGAGGAATTTATGAACTATTATACTTAATTTACTCTCTCTGCCCCGGAAAGAAGAAAAACAATACGGCCACCAAATTGATCCTTTTTGATTTTTAAAGATCTCCTTTATTAACAAACAGTGAACTTTTATTTCGGCAATGAAAAAGGATTCTACAAAACTCTCAAAAGTAACTCTCCTTTTCTGCTTTTTGCAATATGGCCGGTAAATTTACGCAATTTCTAAACTTCTAGCTACGTTTTCGTTTGCTTCTGCTTCGAAAATGGAGGTATAATTACTTAGAGACAATACAATGTAAAGATTTCTGGAGAAAAATAACAAAAATTTACCAATTGATGATGAAAAATGTTCTTTAGACACGAACTAAAACTTTCAAAAAACTCTGGTCACGTGAATGAGACGTCATGTCCCTCTTGGTCGTTTAAAAAACTATCAGGTAGAACATTACTTTCCTGCAAATTTCCGCTGCCGTGTGATAAAACGTCAACTCTCTACAGCTAACGGCCTAGTCTCCCGACGTCTTCGCTCATGTTCATTGCCCCCTTAAATTTTAATCGCCAGGCAACTGGTTATTTTTGAAACTAAACCCCACCCAAACAAAACCTCAATTATACTATTTGTTTTTAACTCGATAACGAAATCTTAGTTACAGCAACAAAAAAAGCTGACTTGGCAATAGTCACGGGACTGATGACATTAACCGATATGTGGCTTGTTGCGTTCTGACATTCTCCTAGGTATAAAATTGTTTAAAATAGTTGCCTCAAAGGATTCTGGGAGATATTTTTTTATAATACAATTTACTTTTATTATTTATTACTTTTATTATTATTATTATTATTGTTTAAAAATTTCACTTGCTATATGACAAATGTATAAAAAGTTTTGAGAAAATTGGCAAATTTTTAGAACTTTTTGGGGAAAAATCTCCCGATGAAGTCTTAGACAATTTTTCCTAGAGTTTTGAAAAACATAGACCAAACCGAAATCCTTTTTCTTTTGCTTCGGATTTAAACACTGTTTGTTACTCGGATAGTAAAGACTGTAAATCAATATTTCACTCAGTGATCACCTACTAAGGCAGTGGATATGACTTTGAAGCTGTGTAACGTTAGAAAAAGCTGTGTTAGTATATACGATTCCTTTTACATTTTTGCATTTCTCCATGTATATCCGTTGGTGGAGCTGATGACACTTTTCTAGAACATTGTCTACTCAGCTTTTTTCTTCACATTCTGATGAATCAAAAAGGTTTATCTTATTAAAAGCATCCAACTTAAGCTCAAGCGTATTCATTTCTTGAAAATATCTAATAACCAAAGTAAAAACAATCAATCTTAAAAGAAACAGTCAAATTTAGCCGAGACCTGCTTCATAAGTAAGCGTATCGCTGTGCCACATGTTGCATTTAAAATTTTATCTCCAGCCTGGTCGTAAAGCACTGGTCTATGTCTACGTCTAAATTATAAACCAATTTTTGCGTACGACAAAATATGTATGGAAATGCATTGTCTAAGGGGAAAAATTTTAAACCGTAGCATCTGTTGTTTTTTTCTTTTTGAAAAATCCTGAAAACAGCCACAGCATGGAGTAAAGGGTGTAAATTTCTTTTTTATTCACCTACCCTGCTGGATACAACATTCACAACTTCTTACTCGGAACAAAACATTTAGACATGAATCTTAGAGAACTACATTTGCAAAAAAAGAAAACTCGATTTGTAAATCTTATATGCAAAAATAATTAACAAGGAAACCTAAACTAAGCACCCAACTAATACATCCGTTATGCAAACTGCATTTTAATAACATTCGGAAGCGTGTAGATACTAAACAAAACGTCTTTAACACTGAAGTTCATACAATTTACTATAATCAATTCTTTTGATTTATCGCGTGGTTTCATTGATCAATAAAAATCATATGTCAGTACTTTATTTGCCGTATCGTTCTGGTCTTAACCTTGAGAGAGTTTTAAAAAAAAACTATAACAAACAGTTATTTCAGGTTACAGCTGGCAAAAATACACTGGAACACAATTAAAATTAAATAGTGGCATCTGTTTTCTACTATGCGCGTCTCTGATCTTGCTAATTCACTTATCAGATATTAGCTAATTGAACAATAAACACAACTAAACTGATTATCGCTTCTTGGAATCAAAGCCTTTTACAAAGATCTGAAGAATGACGTTTTGGAATACAGTACTAACGTACAAATTATAATTTGAAAATTGAAGGTTTCTTTTTCCACTTTAATAATTGTGGCAGATTACAGCGACAGCTTTCTGATCGCAACAAAAGCACGCCTTAAACAATGGCCAACTTCGACAACTGTCAGAAAGAAACTATTCAAAACAACTCTAAATGATCTTGATTCTAAAGAAAAACTTTTTCCATCATTTGAATGATAATTACAAGAACGATGAATACTTTTGAAAGAATAGTGATAATTGTGCGTAAACACCCTTTCCATTATTTTGGCTCGAAGTAAATTTAGATTAACCTCTTTTTGTTACCGGTGGCCATTGTGTTATAGCAGAAAGCTATGAAAAAGGAACGAAGACGTCAACTGCCTGTCCTTTTCTCAAAATACAAATACTTGACTGCAGTTTGTCCATTTTACTACTATTATTTTCGCACAATGGGATCTCTTGAGCAGATAAACATTTTTTTCGTCGCTGATTTATTTTACTCGACAAACCACTGTGCGTGTCTTTTGTACGCATATGAAAGGAAAAATATTGAAGTATTTCAAGACCTGACCCCTGTGGTCAAATTCATCGATAATTTCTGCTACTTACAATTGCTCCCCCGTGGGTAAAATACTAAGAGACACCGTTATTGGAATTTTTTTGCCAAATTAATCTACGGTTAATGGAAAAGAAATATACTGAGCTTAGCTATTAATGCATTTAGATGTCGGCTGTTACTGCATGAAGCTAACGACGAGGAAAAACAGCAAACTTTCATCGATTAGTTGTTGTGGGGGAAGAAAAAATACAATTTTTTAGTGTGTAAGAGGCAGGTAGTGCTATTAATTGGCGTGTGTGAGTGTCACACTGTAAATCAACCAAAGCGTGGTTTTCGAATTAAAAAAAAACATAACAATGAATAAAATTTAAGGGTAAAGCAGTCACCGGGCATCCATAAAAAAAAGGAAGTACAAGTCAAATGGTAAAATTCCATATGGGCTTCTTAAATAAATTCTATTGACCAATGGAACATGGTAACATGGTAAACATGGCTACTTCAAACAGTTATAAGTGAACGATTGAGTCGGGTCGCTCTTAATACTTGTCCTTAAGACGTCCTGCCTGGTTAAGGTACTCCCGTCAGCTGTCAGGGCACACACAAAGAATATAACGGATAATATTTTGGTAAAACAGCGAAACTTCGTCATAATCAAGTTATTGTTAAGTGCTTTTGCCTTCCATAGTAATAAATGTCATTCACTTGGAAACAATACGTGTTGTTCTTAGTTGTTCAATACGAGCTTCCAGTCTATGTTAGCATTTGTTACACACTCACAATTAAAAAGAAATTGCCCCTGGGTTTTTTAACGAATACAATCACTTTTAGAAGATAGAAGTCATTCAACCCGGTCAACCAGCAAGCAGTTTGCACGTGTCAACGGGAGGTAAAGATCTTAGTCACATTTGGCAGCGAAACATAGCTCTGGCTTGCTCTCTTTTTTCGGTTCCTCTACAAAGCCAGCTTAATTAAAGCTTAGTCTCTTTCTAAAGCTTTGTGCTGAAGTGTGAGTAAAGGTAGGCCCAGTTTATTGTTATTCTATTATCTAGTGGTTGTTCAACCACAAAACACTGCATTAGTGAGGTGTTATTTAGCCTGGCGCCATTTACACCTGTGTAGAAGCAGTTCATCATTGTTCCTGCACATGCTTTCTGTTTCTCCAGATTTGGATTGAATTGGATTGAAAAGGATTGATAACTTTGTCTTGAGACCAGTATAACTTGTACAGGAGCCACCGCATCACGTGTCCTATCTAAGATACAGAGTCCACCGAAGACAAATCACATAACTGACAGAGAACACCGAGTCGAGTAAAGCAACATTTTGTCTCTAAAACATAATGGAAAGTTTTAGAGGATTCCCACAAAGCGGTCTTCTACACACTGGAGTGTCTACAGCAGTTGAAACTGACAAAGGCCAACTATTGGCCGCCAGAGCTCAAGAAGTCGATGATAATGCCAGATCAGGAAGCAACTTAGATCGTGATATGAGTGACCACAACCCACAAGACAATGATCTACCGAACGATTCCAACACCGACAACAAGAAAACACGTACCCACCGCAAGTCCCGGCGAAGGCCTCCTTATTCTTACATCGCGCTTATTGCAATGGCAATCCAGAACTCCTCAGAAAAGAGACTGACTCTTGACGGAATTTGCAAATTCATCAGAGATAGGTTTCCTTTTTATCGCGATACTTACCCATCATGGAAAATCTGCATCAGAAATAACCTCTCACTGAACGACTGTTTTATTAAGACAGGAATAAAGTCAGATGAGCCCCTCAAGGGAAACTATTGGACGCTTGACCCGGAAAGTTACAACATGTTTGAGAATGGGAGCTTTCTTCGAAGGAAGACCAGATTTAAAAGGCAAGATCCCAACAGAATTGAGGCTAAATCTCTGTCTGTTGTAGAAACGGGAAGACATGCTTTCACATCTCCCTTGGAGCTTCACAATCGCTTTAGTACAAGTTCTTTGATTCCACAGCTTGGTTTCTCACCTCTTGAACCGCCAAAAGTACCGGGAATAACACCATTTGGTCTTCCTCTTCAATACTACAATCCTACTTCTCAGTCAACGGACTCTTTTTTTGTTCCCTCTCAGTTACCCTTTCTGCCATACTACCAACACCTTAACTGCACGCAGTGTAACCTTTGTGAAAGCTCCAAGCATTTCCATCATCCTTATTTAAGACTCTAGAACAATCTTTATGCCCAAATGAGCAAGTTGTTCGATTTTTAGGTTACAAAACACTAGTATAACAAGTTCAAGGCTTCATACCCTGGCCATACTGTAACAAGAAAAGTTTTCTTACAAACTGTAAGGAATGAAAATGAAAGACGCCAAACGATCTGTTTGACACGCGATTGAAAAAATGAAATATTTCCTTAGACATAACTGAAACGGAAATTGAATAGTACATGTATATAAGTAGCCAGTTTTTGTCAAACCTCAAGAATTTTTTCTATTTTTTGTGGAAATATATATGAAGAAACAGCAAACATATTAGCGCACCAACAGAAACAATTTGCACCGGTATAGCACTATTATGAAGATGTTTTGTAACTACAGCTAATTTGTACAGCAAATTATTTCGCAAGTGCTGACAAAACTAGATTTATTACTGGGATGGACCTCATTAAAACACGAAAAGCTTACTACTAAACCAGCATTAGCGAGTATTGATTGAGAAAAAATGCTTCTACAATCTATTAACCTTCCTGTGTAACTAGATGTTATAAATATAATATCCAGACAAATTAATCAAAGGAATTTATTTTTATTCCTTATAACTTTGCCTTTTATTGAACTCTATGCACATAATCCGAAGTAAATAAAGCGAGATTGTACATAAGGTGGAAAAAAAAACTCAGTGTTATTAAAGTAGAAGGTAAGAACACGAAAATGTGATCCTTTCATTAAACGTGTTTCAAATCCCTCGAATTCCCAACATATAATTGTAGAGTTCTATCCTTTGCTAAATCAGTTTATCTTTATTTCGGGACTGTTAGACTCTCACTATGTCTCGTTTTTAATGTTTGTTTATGAATGGATATATTTTAGTGATGAGCTGGGATAACCAGGTGCTCTTCGGTGTAAGCCACCCTCGGATGTCATCTCGAGCCATGCGGTCGATCTAGGCTACCTCACCCCCCAAGCTTAGAGAAGAAAAAGCCGGCTTTGGACTCACAGCGGCGTGCGGGAATCATGATGCTTGTCTTTTGTTCCTCTAAACAAACTAGTCTCCCATTGTCAGTAAACTTTTTCGAGTCAAAGAAAAGAAAATAACATTTACCACAGTTTAAATCCTCTTGCTTAGTAAAACTGATCTGCTTCTGCCATTCAAGATAAACCACACTCGACTAACATTTGAAAAAGCACGGAGTTCGAGAACATTTAAACCTCTCAAAAATTTTCGCACGGCTAAAAAAGGAGATTCGAACGAATTTCTCGTTTGGAGGTAGGTTTAAGTGAAAGGTAGCCCAGGCCGTTTGTAGGATATTTAGGGTTGTTGTTGAATTTTGCTTTACTTTCATCCCACGCATCCTATGAAAATAGTCCTGCCTTCGGGGCAAATGGAATGTGTTTGCATTCTTCAAATGCTGTCTACTACAAGGAAAACACTATAAGTAATTGGCTTTTTCCACGGGTGGTTTACAATATAGAGAGTCTGGTCATAAACACACAACGTCACAGTAGTCGAACTTTTTAATTTGATCTTCACTTGACTCATTGATTCCAAGCAGGACTTCAGCGGCTGCATTCATAACCGCCATGTGGAATTTCCACCTACGAGGCGAATTCATTTATTGCAAGAAAACTCTTCACGCTGTGAACTTTCATTTTGCCATTAGTACACACCGACTGAGTAATGTTTTTTTTATGGTTTTCTTGTCTGAGGTCAAGCTGGGATGTTTATGTTTTGCTCAATGATTGAATGCATGAACAATGAACAAAGCTTGTTGATATACTTTCCGCCAGAGTTGCTTCGCAAGAACCTTTTTACAAGGCCTACCGAGGCCCGGTTTATCAAAAGTTCTAAATGAAAAAAGTATACAGAAACCATAGTTAACGAGTGCTCCACTCAATACCTGAATCTTGAACGAAGCAAAGTTTACCGGTACACTGATGACAGACACGGCAACTTTTAGCGGTTATTTGTTCCAAAATTTGCTAGAGTTATCGAGCATAAAAAGTTAATCTCATAATTGAGCAAAAGGATCTACTCACTACTCAACTCACTCAAAGAAATTAACGCTACCAGCATGCCTGATTACATTTGCCAGGACCGTTATAACCCTATCTGAACACGTTTTCTTTTAATGAATAAAGACAAAAACACCTAGAAAAGTTCATCAGTGAAGTTTGGGAAAGGAAATAAATTCACAAAAAAACGGCGACGCTGTAAATGATTAGGTATTATCAATGTACTGTTTCTATATAATTGCTTTTGGTTTAAAGGTACTGCCCATAGGTAGATTGAGTGAAATAGGACGCCTCCTGAATAATCTTTTTAGGTATTGTAACCTATTATTTTCTTCATTACTTTTATTCTTTTGACATCCGCATCAGAATCCCTCCACTTTATCTCCTAATACCATTAGCTTTGCAAAAAACAGCTTGTACACAAAGAAAAATGTCAGGGAAATCAGTGGCTAAATTACTCCTTTATGCAAAAGCTGTAATTTTCACCTCCTTCTCAACTCATTAACAATATTGCTTCACTTGTACAATACCCGTACTTACTGCAATTCACATAATCCTAGCTGAATGGCCTATTGAGATACAAACCGGGCTAATATCCGTAATTTTGCAAACGGCTGTAGCACAAATGTACTATTTTGACTAATTGAATAGTTTCCTTACTTTGCTGAAACCATGGAATATTCGTAAGAAGCCAATTTCTAAATCTTATAACCTGGTGTACAGTCACTTTTCGGGAATTTGTTGGCGACGTCTTACATGAACAATAAGTTAGGCCTTTAAAAAACCGCCCAGCTAAAGTTAACACGGAGACGGGTTTCTTAACATCAGCTTTTTAAAAATCTTTTATAGTCCTTTTGTTGGTAGAAGTTCGTAGTGAATGCAACTTTTTTCTCAGACTTTCGAGTTAAAGAGTACAATCTAAAAAGTTGGGTTCGGTCCATTGGCCTCAAAATTGAAAAATCTAACTATACGGTTACCTTATAAAAGAAGAACTGAATCCGTTTTCAAATTAGCTTTAAACCGAGACACTATCGTGTAAGTAAGAGATCCACCCGACGTGACTCACTGTACAAAACTACAACCGGGAGTACAACTTTTAAATGACCGGCACATGCTTTCAAGCCGGTCTGAGAAAGTACAGTTGAAACAAACACGCCAAAAACCTGGTATAAGAACGTCAATTTGTTGAAAAAAAAGGTAGGATATTTGAAAACAACGACAGCGACGAGGCAAGGACAATTCAAACGTTGAACTGGATAAAGATTAAAATGTACTGTTGAATTACCGTTGAATTGCAGATCAAGGAGCTATTTTTTAGGAAAAACAATTCTCGGACCAGATGGTAAACTATTCCATGGCAAAGACTGAAGGATATTCTGATCTGGAGTGTCAAAAATTTCTCTTAGCCAGGCCCTAAGTGCTTTCTGAATCGTACACTCTGAAAAAAAAAAACTTCTTGTCTGGTAAGTTTAATATTAAAAGTCAATTAATTATATACTTTCGCGTATGTTTTCAGTAACATGCGGTCTTTGTGTTGTGTCGATAGAATTCTGAATCTCTTGGATAGCCCACCATGGTCGCAAGATCGAAGGAAAACTGGCACAGCTAGTGATTTACTGTGTTATCGTGTGACCTTCCGCGGACAAATATTCAAAGATATTGATCATGTCGTTATTTAGCGTTCGGCCTAATTCAATTACAGTCAACTCTGTCTAAGACGGACACCTTTGGGACCGGCACTAAGTGTCCGTCTTAGAGAGGTGTCCGTCTTATAGAGAGTCAAATAAAGGGAGTACAGAAAGGCAGGGACCAACTCTAAGTGTCTGTTTTACAGTGGTGTCCGACTTACAGAGGTGTCCTTTAAGAGAGAGTCGACTGTAAACGATTTATGACTGTCTTCAACCATGTAAAAGAGAAGAAAACGAATGAATACAGGTGCACCTTTCCTAAATGGCCATCTAAGGGAAAGTGCTGAGAGGCCGTCACAGACGGAGGGAGCGGAAGAAGAAGTTTAATTCAGAGCAAAAGTGATGACGTCACGAAAACTAAATGCGAACGTTGAATAACGAACAGCTCCCGTAACGATCCAGGCCAATTTAGAAGGATTTGTATGGAGTCATCAGAGCATATCTCCCCACCAATTTGCTCTAACAAGCTGATTTTGGCAAGTGAACACTTTTTCATCTTTTCTTTCTGGATTAGCCAACGAGTCCCATAATTTCACTGACAATTGTTTGTAACGTCACACTTCTCTTCTCTATGTGACATCAATTTTGTGAAAAAGGGTATGCGATTTACAGTTTTAATAACGCTTATCATCAATTTCATCAAATAGCTGGTTACTTAAGCCAGCAAGATGAACTGAGAACTGACTTTTGTACTGACCGGCTAGTCGAGCAAGCAAGGCTCGCCTGTCTCGGGCGGGATTAGCCTTTTTTGTTTCAAACGAGGAAAACATTTCTCATCGTCATAAACCCTTTTTTGCAGTTGATGGACTCGTTTGCTGAAGATGGCTGGATAGTGGCCTTTTTTATGCTCGCGTGTTTTTACGCACTTTGACTTGGTGGTCTTGGTTAAACGAAAAAAAGACCTTGAAAACACCCAAGCGTCTTGACTTGAGTAACGAATTGTCAATCAAGATATGTAACACGATTAAAATGTATCATAAAAATAAATATTATTCAGAAAGAAAATGTCAGCAAATCAAAGCGATTAAAAAACGGTGAGTACAACAGTTTGTACATTTTTTGTTCATAAAAAAGCGATTTTGAAGACCCGTTGTGACGGAGGTGATCATTCTCACCAACAGAAGGTAGATAAAAAATCAATGTGTGGACTGGAGGTCCCCTGCCATCTTGTCACTGCTTACAATCGGCATAAAGATCTTACATTTGGATTCCAAGACAAAATTCTTAGACCGCAGGTTGTGTGTGTCAAAAAAAAAGTCAAAATGGTATTGTTAGTTACTGAAGCTACTTTAATGGGATCGAGGTCAATTTTTACCCCTTTTTTGAGCATGCTGCTGTAAGGTTAGAGTTGCTGTAAGCATGCGAACATAGAATAAGTTGAAGTTAGTTTGCGTTATGATGATTTGTTATTTCCAGACTGCGTATATCACAACATGGTATAATTGGAGATGTTTCGTTGTTTTCTGTAACTCAAATAGTAAATATCTACCAGTGTTTTAATCAAAACACACAACAAAAACTTTGTTTATTGGTGCTTCTAGTAAAACGTCTTGAAGAATGTTTCCCCCGGAGTGCAAAGAGAACCAGAGCACTTTCCAAAGGGAGGCACGCGAAAGTTGTCATTTCATGTGAAGACATGCCTTACAATATCACCTAAAATCTTTCTTCTTTTTAATAACACACGGAGAAAGAAATAAAAGCAGCAGACGCAATAGGGGGCTGCTTTTTTGGAAAAAATTCAAACGTTTTTGTTATAAAACCTGCGTGTGATGAGCGTAGTT